GATTAAAGAAAAAAATAGAATCAAATTTCCAAATGTACTGACTTCAAGAAGTTTACCGGTGATCAAGTAAATATGTTTAACAGAGAGCCTCTGTAGTGTTCTATGTTGACATATTTTAGTTAAAAACTCGTTTCAGTCAAGGCAGCTCTCCCCACCCCTTTCCCTGTCTGAGGTACAGAGAGCTCTGGACTGATTGCTTTGGATGTTGTCCTATCTTCCATGCCACTTCTGGAACTGTATTTAGTTCACTTACCCTGTGTTTAACCTACCCACACGCAGCACACCGACTGCTTCACGTTTAAAAAATCTGTTGCACGGGAATGTTCCCCCATAGAGAAAGCAGGTTTTGCCAGGATTCGTGTGAGTTTTGGGTAAGCCTGACACTGCTCAAGGTCAAAAACTCTTGCGAAAATAAAGCTAATGCTTTTGGATCATGAATCCTTCATAAACGGCTCAGCTGAAACAAAAACCTCAGCTTCAGGAATCAGAGGCAGCAACAAGAGAGTTACCGAAATAAAACTGATGTTTTAATAGTAATTTCTGATTTGAAATACTTTAAAGAGATTTGGTTTTCTGGCTTCTGGCCCAGGAAAATGAAGATTTGAGTCTGTTCAAGCTGGTTACTCAAAAGCCAAGATATAAAAAAATTAATGAAAATTCTTAATCTTTTAAAAAATAACAGAAATATTCACTAGTAGGTATGAGTCTGAAGCAAAGACTTGATTTCAAAACTTTAATAGTTCAAATTCTGCAGTTTATTTCATATCTGTCTTACTTCCAAGATAATTTCTCTTCTGAAAATCAGAAGTAATTGAAAGTCATGCTTTCTGCAAAATGATATTTCAAACTAATTGCCAAAAGATTTTTATTAATCACTGAATTAAAATCTGACGGTTTGTTTCAGCTCCATTTCTACTTTGTTGGTATATTAGAATTGAATATAGTTGCTGGCAAGTACAGAAATAATCATGTTAGTGAGCGACAGTAAACTTAGCTGTTATAACTAAATAGAAAAATTATCAAATAGAGTGGAACAGTGTTTCAGCTCCTGCTTGAAACCTTTGGTGCAGCTTCTGCTTAGCTTGTATTCAGCTTTACTTGGCATTTGATACAACAAAGGCTTCAGGCTTCAGTATTTTTCTTCCAATTTGTTGCAAAAAGTCCACAGTACAGAAGGGAAATTGCAAAGTGTATTCAGAGGCAGGTTCTCTAAAACATAGAAGGAAGAAGCTGAAAAAGGGAGAACTTTGGTGGGTGAGAAACAATGTGAGTGGAGGCGTTTTGTAGGAACTGTGAAAATAAACATGGAGAATGTTAATATCGGTGGAGAAAAGGAAGAGGATAGAGATGTTAAAGAAACTCAGAATGTAGACAAACCAGAAATTAAATAGGGAAAACGGTTAGTGAAGATAAAATGGAGATTCCAGGCCACTGCTCTGTTGCATTGGTTACATAACTGGTTTATCTTTTTGGAGGGAAGACTGAAAAGGGAAGATCAAAAGCTACATCATTAAGGGCATAAAGGTATTATAAGGATCACCCCTTTGCTCCTAAGGTGGATGAATATGACATGTACACTGTTAAAAATGCAAACACGTATTAAAAGGGACGTCTTTTTCTTGGACATACAGCTTGAGATTTCTTAGCTCCTGATACTAATAGCACCCAGAAAAGTAATTAATCTCTGTGGCAACTGTGGGGGGTTTCTTCTCTGAATAGTTACCGATAGATATCTTAATTTAACCATTTAGAAGTAGATATGTAAAGAAAATCCAATGGCTGCTTCATTAATGTGCTGAGGTTTTTGTTGTTCAGCATCATTACATTAGATTTGTCCCTGGCTTGATTTCACTTCCTGCATAAAATGACAGCAAGGATGTGTTTGGACCAGCCCTATGTACTTTTTTACAATAGGTGATGCATGTTCCAACAAACAGCATTGTGTGTCTATTGGACTTCATCGCTCTGTTTACGCCTTTGAAAGAAATTACTAAACATTTTTTAATTATTATAATTACAGCCTGAAAAGTTCTTTGTCTGTTCCGTGCCATATATTATCCTGAGGTGAAGGGTGGAAGAGCACAGAAGGGGAACTCATTAAAAGTCTGATTAAAATTCCATGTTGACACACGTGAAAAGAAATGTATCTGATGAAATCCCACCACCATTTAAAACAATGGGAGCCCTGGCATTAATTTCAGTCAGACTGGGAAGACACGCTGGGCCCAGTTCTTCACCTGGGCTTTTTTGGAAGAAGAACTAGAATCAGGAAACAGCAATGGCACCAGCACCATTACAGGCAGCAGTGCTGGTAGAAATGGTAAATAGCTGAAATCATCTGAGATATCTAGATACTTAACCATGCTAATCCCAGTGTTCAGGTGAAGATACTGGGCAAATGTCAAAGTTACAGATGAATAACATGACTCGCATCTGCATAGTGAAACCACAACTGATCTCAGCTGGTCATCTCAAATAAATGCCAGAAAAGCTTTTATGCCAGAATTTCACATGTTCTCTCTAAATATTCCATGATCCGTACAAAGAAGATTTTGTCAGGTTGAGCAGGCACTTTTTCACATACTTCTTTCTACAAAAAAAACTAAGCTGTTATGTTAATACCATGGATTTGCTTGCATAGCTCTCCTTTTACAAGAAGCAAATAACTAGTTAACATGAGAAGAATTTAAAAATCACCTGCAATAGATTTTCCATACATAAGAGTATCTTGATTTTGAGGTCAGAATCCTCTAAGACGGGAAGTAAATGCTATTATCAAATTAAAGAGTGGGGAGAATCTCCCATTTCCTGACAGACCAGGCAGTCGATTTCTAGTCCTTGAGTGGCTGGACCTTTCATCTGTCACTGATCCAGGGCTGAACAGCATTGTTCACTCTGTTCCTGAGGTCAGGGCGATTTACAGGGGAGGAAGAAGGAAACATTTTTCTGGATGGCTTATTTATTTATTTATTTATTCTGAAAACCCTCAGAGGCTTGGAATACCAAAAGGCTGCCCAACAGAGAGTGATTAACCATCAAAATCAGGGCAGGATTGATCAAAATTGGATTATATCTGCCTTTGTATGAAATGTGCCCTTCTAGAGACAGCTCAGCTTAGAATCCCAGCTCATCTTGCCCTGAAAGTGCTTCATGTGTCTTCCAGTCTTTTTCCCCAAAGCTACAGGGTTTCTGTGGGTGCTGGGTGCGTGCTGACAACTGAGTTCCTGTGTGCTCCATGGCTGCTGGGGGAATGACACTGAGGTGCTGGAGAGGGTACAGAGGTGGCTACCAAGCCAGTAAAGGATCTGGAGCATGTGTCGTATGAGGAATGGCTGAGGGATCTGGGGCTGTTTAGCCTGGAGAAGAGGAGACTGAGAGGAGACCTTCTCGCTCTCTACAACTACCTGAAAGGAGGTTGTAGCGGGATGGGATTGGTCTGTTTTCCCTAGTGATGAGTGATGGGACAAGGGGGAATGGCCTTAAATTGCACCAGGGGAGGTTCAGGTTGGATATTGAGAAGAATTTCTTTACTGAGAGGGTTGATGGGCATTGGAACAGGCTGCCCAGGGAGGTGGTTGAGTCACCGTCCCTGGAGGTGTTTAAGAGACAGGTAGATGCTGTGCTGAGGGACATGGTTTAATGGTGTTCAGAGGGCTAGGACAAAGGCTGGACTCGATGATCTTGATGGTCTTTTCCAACCAAAACTATACTGTGATTCCAAGAGAGATCCCAAAACAGGATACCTCTTCCAGGGCACTGCCTAAAGCCTGCTTTCTGAGGGCTTCCGTGTGCCACTTTTATGTCCTCTCAAAAAACGCATTAAAAGAAAAATCTTTTTAAAACGTGAGAACCCTGGAGCCTATTTTATGTGGTGTTGGCTGCCTTGGTCAGCATCCGTGGCTGCGGGGGCTGCCTGCCCGGGGAGCGGGAGGGCCTGCACAGGCAGTGAGAGCAGCCGTCCGGTGCTGCTGAGCGGGCACTGGAAGGTTCTGGAACACTCTGAGCTCCCAGCCCAGCATGTGGCAAACTGCCCCAGAGCCCTGCCCATTGGAAACCTCCACACCCTGGGGCACAGGGAGGTTATCCAACCCATGTTTTGGGAAAAGTTCCCTGAACCTGCCATCACCACAGTGATAGTAGTGTGACTGTATTGGCTTAAAGACACAGGCCCGGAAAGGCTTCAAGGCAGAATTAATATATTTTTTTAGAGCAACTGTAAAAGTAGAAAAACTCAACAGCCTTCAGGCACGCAAGCTGTTCTCCCTGTCTTTATTTGTATGAATTACTGTGGTTTGCATGGATCCTCAGTTTCAGTGCTAAATACTACTCTCAAAATAATTTCTGGCCACCTCTGCCAGTGGGGCATGAGGATGTTCTTTTCTCCTTTCTCTGTCTCACATGAGAGTGAAATGGTATTTTCTGCTTTTAGCACTGGCTAAAGATTCATTTTGAGCATAGTCATGAGCTGTAAGTAACTTAGAGCCCAAGCAGTGGAACTTGGCTCCCAAACCCTTTGCACACTTTGAGAAAAATCCTGGCTAGGAAGTTTGTGCAAGCCTTTTTTAATGAACCTGCCTGAAGTATAAATTTCTCTGGGTTTTGAAGAGCTCGGATCCAGGGTTTCCTTCTTGCTCTCCTTAACTTCAGTGACAAGTGCATTTATTATTGTTATTTGACAGAAAACTGGAATGGTTAACATCTCAGATTTATGTTGTATGAAGGTACATTCCTTGCTTTTATGGGGATCTAGCAATTAAGACAAATATTTGTTCTTGTGATCTTGCAGCTTGTGATTGTTCTGTGTGATACAGTTATATGTTTTCTTTTATCACCATTTCTGATTACATAAACAAATGAAAGAAATAAATCTCTGTGGGACTTTTTTTTTTTTTTACAACTTCCATTCAACCTGTCTGTACACTGTTGTACGTTATGCTTTCTTTCAGACTGTAGCTTGCGTTTCTTGGATATGTCTGATTCTTAAAAAATGTTGTTAACAGGACATTTCAAAGTTCCCAGACAAGGATTATACAGTGCTTGGCGAAGGTGGAATCATTCTGAGTGGAGGCCAGCGAGCACGAATCTCACTAGCAAGGTGAGTGTCTTGCTTGCTAAGCAGTGTACTGTTTCGTGTATAAGGAAAGTATACTGACTAAGCACTTAAATACATGTGGACCAATTCCTGCTAAATAAACATCCTCCAGGTATATAAGAAACTTCATTTTACTATCAGAAATCTGAGTTTTGCTACGCAATTGTGTTTGCGATACACCTGCCTATTTATTTATTGAATTTTAGAAGTTTGAGGTCAGATGCATGCTACGGCTTAGCTGAATATCAGGCTTTCCCTCCCTGATGCAAGGTGGCATGTGGAAATTCAGACCTTTAAATGTAACTTAGGATCATTCCCTTCTATGACACTTTTACAAAGCAGTTTATATATTGGTTAATGACATACTTACTCCCGATCTGCAGGTAACAACAATTAAAAATTTGCCAGATTTTAAAAAATCTTACTAATAGTTCTAGTCTTTTTCTGTTGTAAAAAGAAAAAGTGTAAAGCAATGGCTAGTCAGTACCTGTGAGTAATGATCTGGCCTTGTCTCTTTGACCTTCCAATGTTAAAAACTAATTCTGAAGGCCTACAGAACAATAACGTAGGTGTTTGTCTCATAAATTAGTTACATGTTTCAGCAGAATCGCTTAGCTATGATCAGAAATGTGGTAATGACAGCTCTGATATGTAAATGGCCCCATTTATTTCTGTGTCAAGTGCAAATTGTGCTGGTTCCCATGTTCAGAAATGCTGGGTAGGAGTAAAATCACATTATGGTGGTCCACACTGGCATCCCATGGAAAGTGTACGTGTCTGTATGAGGCTAAAATATGGTTTCTTTAAAACAGAGAAGCTTTCAGGGTGGATCTTTCTATCAGATTTGTGAGAGGGAAGAGGCATATGGATGGTTCTGTTTTATCTTATCTGTAAGATAAGAGAGAGGGGAGGAGCAAGCAAAGCTTTCAGAGAAAAAAAAACAACACAAACCAACCAACAAAACCTACTTATTTAAAATGCAATATTTATGTGAAGTATTTCTCAGATTCTATGAATAATCATTTCTGTCACTGTTCAGATGGTCACAGCTCATTTCCTGGAGGGTCACAGAACTAATATATGTATTGCCAGCTATATAATTATTATTTTTAAAACAATTATATGTCCCAAAGACAATTGCTATATCTGCTTTACATTTTGGTTGAGTGTCAGTCTGTGCTCAGCGTGCTGCAGTATGTGCATGTATTGGGGTGTGGGTTGCAGATGAAGTTCAGAGAAGACTGGAGGAGATAATTTAGGATTACAGCCCTGGGTTGTACCCATCTGCAGTGGCAACAGGCTGGATGTTATTTGCTTGGACTGGCTGCATACACGTGTCTGGTGTACTCTGTGCAAAGTCATGTGAAATGAGAATTTCTGCTGAAATGCTATCAA